TTGATGAAAAAGTTAATAGGATGGCTCGTTTGAGAATTTATCATAGTAGAGGGGCAACTTTGATATGAAACATAGTAAAGGGGTATATTTGAAAAAAATACATTGTAAATAGGCATATTATACCTATAATCCTTTTAAGTTTTGGGCAGGAATAACCAAACATATTTGAGACACCACATAATAGCCAAATCTTTTAGGACATTAGGTTTGGTCACTACAGGACAAGGTGTGTGAACGTGCATTTGTAAAATCCAGGAAGCGTGACGGTGAAGGTGGCGACGTATGAAAAATCCAGGAAGCGAATTGAAGTGGGCGATCCATAAAAACCAGATCCAATACTTTATAACGCTGCTCGGCAATGGCTCCGCCGATGACCCCTGTGTAGAAAACGATGGCATAGATGGTGACGAGAGGGGTGAACTCGGCGAAGTAGAGAATCGATTTTGCCCTGCGGAAATCGTCCAGTCCAGCAAGCTCTCCAGCGGGGCGTCGAGTGGGAACCTGGCGAAGTAGAGAATCGATTTCGCCCAGCTCATCTCCACGCAGTTCTCCCTTTTCAAACCCAGATTTGGGAATTTTGAATCCATCATTGGCCACTCTGGTCAGAACGACCATCGATGGACAATTTCTCTTCAACTTCTTCCCTGATCAGATTTTGCAATGAAGAAAAGACAAAGGTTGAGATGTTGGAGTGCTTGGCAGATTGGGGATGAAGGTAAAACTCTGTCTATTTTCTGCTATCGCAGATCTTCGATTGCAGTTCTGGGTTTCCTCTTCAAATTATGTGATTAGGGAAGTAGGTGAAGAATCAATAGTAGATTTTTGAGTTTGGATTCTTCTTCATCTATCTTATTCTGGGTTTGGGGTTTTTCTTCTTTGCTTATTTGGGTTTGCAGGGTTACGGATTTGGTAGGTGAATTGATAAATCCCCAAATTTAGGGGAAGTAATTAATAACCCTCGTCGATAGTGGGAGGTTGGTCTGGAGGAACGGAGAGGACAAGACGGGGATACTCGGCGGACTCGGGTGGGTTGAATTGCTGCCGGAACTGGGAAAGACGACAGAGTCGGGGAAGATCAAAGATGGGTTGTCCGAAACAAATGGGGAATATGATATGGGGGGGGGGGATTTTGATTTTTTTTTAATTTATTATGTGTAAATATTAAATAATTAAAATATCTAACGTGTCACTATTTGCTTATTTAGAGCTGATGTGTCCGCTGAGTTGGCTTCTAGTCAGCCAACCATCAAATAAGTTGACGGTGTCAATAACACCGTTAAAGTTTGTAACAGAAATGGGTATATTTGGCACAAAAGTTTCAAAATTCTGGCTATAAGTGGTATTTCTTCAAATTTTGCTAGTATTGACACAAACGCGAAAGTTTTGACTATACAAGTATCTATTGAAGAAAAAAAACAAAATTTACTCTTTAGCATTTCATTGAGAAAAACCACTTTTGATGCCAAAGAGCAAAACTTAGTATTGCTCTATAGCAGTACCATTTGAGATGGTCTAAGGATCCACATTGAACAAAAGTGCAGACTATGTCGCTTAGAATAGTTAACCATATAAGTAACCGTACTTGAGTTAACTAGCAAGTCATTGTATCAATCAAGACCATGGTTGTCATGCCGGTGGCATACCGGTTGGTTGAACCTAGTTCAACTGATACCTAAAATCGGCATGATCGATTTACGAATTATAAGTAAAATGACATTGTTTTAGAAAATATTTATGAATTTATTATATGTTTTATGAATATAAAAGTTAAAAGTTGATGTATTTTGTTGGATTCGGGTATAAATGTTTAGATATTGATGTTAAATGTTGTATTTAAATATGAGTATGAGTTACTTTATTTGGAATATCATATTTTATTAAGCCGGTATGAACCGATACAAACCGGTTGTACCTCTGATCGTACCATTCCACTTGTTAAACCGGTGCAACGATATAACCGGTTTGAGTTTGAGATCAATACCCACACAGATGGATTCTAATTTCTAACTACGAACGTACGCCAACCTGTAATTCTGCATCACACACCTCAATTAGCTAGTGGTGGCCGGTGGGCCTCCCCTTGTAATTCTGCATCACACACCTCAGTTAGCTCAGTGTAATAAGTAGCATCACTAATCCATAATCGATATATATATAATCTCCAGCTTATCCACGACTAACCATCATCATCAATCGTATATCAATCATTTGATACTTTTATTAAGATCACGGTATCATTTGATAGCTTATATCCAACACAAATAAACACTCACACTCGCTTCCCACAAACAATCATACACATAATACACTTACAACAATAGGAAAAAGAAGGATGACAAACCCGATGAAATCGTTTACAAATTAAGTGATCGAAGTGTTTGCGACATGTTCATCGAGTGTTAGCCCGTCTCATGTCATGATAACAATATTAAAGTCAAACTTTATTACAATAAAAACATCACAAATTACAAACTTTTTTCTAGAAATTTGTAGATCTAATATATCATGACGAACTCGTTTCTTTGAGCTAAATTTTTCAAAATTTGAAATATAAACAAAAGTGGTACCAAGTGATACTAGGGTGGTGGTAACGAGTGGTATAGGTTGTATAAAATATTATTTCTCAAGATATTGAAAATTGATATAATTTTATAAATCACAACGAACTCGTTCCATCTGTGTAAAAAAATTTGGAATTCAAGTTATAAGAAAAAAAAAATCATCTTTTAGATCTAATCCTACTTAGACTTAAGAGTTTATATCTAATTATGAAGGGTTATAGGTATAATATGCCCCTCTACTATGACGTTTTATCAAACATGCCCCTCTACTAATTTTTACATTAAACATGCCCCTGTACTTTGTAAAAATGATCAAACATGCCCTTTTGTTAAAATTTTCATCCAAAAACCGTTAACTAAGATCGAACTTTAGTTTGGGCGACACAAATGACTAAAATATCCCTAAAAATTTCAATTTAGAATTTTTTAGTTCTTTTGTATAATCAAATCATTCAAATAATTTCACTTTGAAAAGACCCAGAGAAATAAAACAGGGGACAAAACTGACATTTTCCCTCCCATTTGTCGATGTCGGGTCGTCTAAATCTCGGTTCAACCATGATTGACGATTTTTTCAATGGAAATTTTAACAGAAGGGCATGTTTGATAATTTTTTCAAAGTACAGGGGCATATTTGATGTAAAAAATAGTAGAGGGGCATGTTTGATAAAACATCATAGTAGAGGGGCATATTATACCTATAACCCAATTATGAAAGGGAACTAATATGGAAGTAAGAAAAGGGGGAAAAACAGCAAAACCTTCCCCAGGATCTGTGGTGCAATGATGGCCGTCCGATGATCTAGTCTCACGCAGACAGGGAATCTAATCCGACGGCGGAGAAGTGAGGTAGAGGGTAACACGTGAGATGAGCAGAAGAAAAGGGGAAAGCCAAAAAAGAAGTTAATAAAAGGAGGAGTGGATCACTCGAGAGTCGAGAAGTGACTTACTTACTTCCCGATTCCCCAGGCCTGCCTCTGCGGCTCTGCCTCCGCCATTGCTCTCTCTCTCTCTCTCTCCCTCCCGGCCGAGCAGCCGACCGACCGAGGAAGCGAGCGCGCGGCACACTCTGCGCCACCATCCCAACCTTCCTCCATCCATTGCCCTGTTCCATTCATTCATTCCGTCCACCCAACAGTCAATTTCAGCGAGATATAAATGCTCTGTTTCTCTCTCTCCCTCCCTCTGTTTTTTCTTTTGCTTTCCCAAGCAACTTAAATAGCGCATCTACAAAGGCCAGCAAGCATCATCGACTCTTCCTTTCCTCCTGCTCCCACGCACGCACCCCCAAGTCTCTGCTTTCATTTCTCTTCCCTTCTCTAACTATCCCCCAGCTCGACCCGCGAGCTTCAAAGCAAACATTTTTAATTCCCCACACTGTCAGATCAAAAAGTTGGTGAATTTGGGATTTGGGAAATTTTTTTGGTGGGTGGGGTTGGGATTGAGTGAGTATATGGATCCGATGAGCGAGGAGCCCTTCAACTTGGCGGAGATCTGGCAGTTCCCGCTGAATGGCAATGGGAGAGGCCAATTTGGGCAGAGTTTGGCTCACTTTGCAGACTCTGCCACGGATAATGATCCACCGCCCAATTTGGAGAACAGAGGAGGAGGAGGAGGTTTCATGAGGAAGCGACGGGATTTGGAAGAAGCCGTCTCCACCAGCAATGGCAGCGGGAATGGACTGGTATGTATATATGTATATCCCTCCACCCTATCTTCATTCTGATTGGCCATTGATTTTTAATTTTACCCAGCACACAAGAAAAGCTTCACAGTCAATTGGATTGTTGACTTTGTTGTTCACATCATTGGCTGTAACGTGGGCAGTAACTGAATTACTGCTTTCCTTATTTGGGCAATGATCTGAAATTGAGTGCAGAATGACAGTGATGGGAAACGGATTAAAACGAGAGGAGGGAGTAGAGATGATAACTGTGATGCCAAACCTGAAGAAACAGAGCTCAGTTCAGGGAAGCCGCCGGTGGAACAAAAGGCTCAACCACCCTCCGCAGAGCCACCTAAACAAGATTTCATCCACGTACGGGCCCGGCGTGGTCAAGCTACTGACAGCCACAGCCTTGCTGAAAGAGTATGTCAACCTTTCTTTTTCTTTTCGTTCAAGATTCCAACCAACTTTTACCCTGTAGTGATTCTTAGATACTGTGCGGTAATTATGGAGGTGGGCTCACATGGTGTTGCTGCTACTGTTTCATTGACAGGCCAGGAGAGAAAAAATCAGTGAGAGGATGAAGATTCTTCAGGACATCGTCCCTGGTTGCAACAAGGTACATTTTTGTTGCAGTGCTTTCCTAACCAGAGACAGAGCTTTTAACGTCTGGCTGGATTTCATGGGTGTGTTTTTTGTGTACCTGTTCCTGGGATGCAGGTCATTGGGAAAGCTCTCGTCCTTGATGAGATAATTAATTACATCCAATCATTACAGCGTCAAGTTGAGGTATAAGTCGTTGTTATGAAGAAGGATTAACAGGACAAATACTTATACTTCCCCTTGTAGTTACCTTGAACTACTGTCAATGAAGCTGAGTTCTTTCTCTTAAACTTGCAGTTCCTGTCAATGAAGCTGGAGGCAGTTAATTCCAGAATGACTCCAGGGATGGATGTCTACCCTTCAAAAGAGGTAAGCATCTGCTCCTTCTTTTTCTGTCTGTACTGAAATTCCCTTGTACAGAATTTAGTAGGGGCTGCTTAATTCCTTTCTTCTCTGGATGCCATTTCTCTGTGATTCTATGCTATTGTACACAGCCCACCACTCTTTGCTATTGCTTCTCAAAAGAGTTGAGATATTTAGATAGGTTGCTTGTCGTCTTTAGCTGTTGAAAAGGTTATCAGCATATCGAAATCTGAAACACGAGATACTGTGATTTACCTGTTTTCTGAGCCTTGATCAGTTTCTGCTACTCTTTGATGTCAGTATGGCCAGCAAACATTTGATGCTTCCGGCATAGGTTATGGTTCACAAACCACAAGGGAATTCAGCCGGGGAGCGTCGCCTGAATGGCTGCACATGCAGATTGGTGGCGGTTTTGAGAGATCGTGATCAATTGATTGGCAATAAGAGAAGCAGCAATACGATACTTTATATCCTCCAGAGGGTTAGTTACATTATACGCAGCTAAGTTCTGGTTTAAAAGATAAAGAGAGCATTATGTTGTCACTACAGCTACTTCGACATCATAACATGAAAGCTGTGGAATCCCGAACAGAGATCTCTCCAGTTGTTTGATCGTTGAAGAAAAGCCCATTCTTTTACTTCATACATATATAGAATCGTTGTAAGCTGGACTTCACTTTTCTCCTGCTGCTGCAATACCTGCTAAGATGAGATCCTCCTGGTCCTATAGCTATCTAAATTTCCTGTTGTAGAAGGAAAGTTTCTGTTAGAGATTTCCTCTCCTGGTATGCATGCTCTGTACAAACCCTTTTTGTTTCATACCTATCATAGACATGGTGAACCCAAGCTTAGATCTTTAATGAACTATGATGGTTCAAATGTTAAACATAAACCTTCAGTTTGGTACAAGTCTCGCATATTTCAGCAGTTGATCTAAGCATTCAAATATATAGCGAAACCAGCAGCAGGAGAACTCAGATAGTCAAATGATGGAAGGAAAGTTTTGAGCAAACGTAATTTAAGACCCTTTTGCTTCCTTCCGCAGCATAACGACTCCATTGTTGATCTCATCAAAACTGTACAGCTTTGCAACTTGCTGTTGCTGATGCTTAGGTAAAAGCTAATTACATGGCTGCCCGCGTAGTACCAGAGAAGCTTCTTCCATCATCGTTCCCATTTGCTTGGAGGTAGGAAACCACTGCCCAGACAACCCGTACGAGCAGGACTCCAACAAAGATGGTGGTTCCAAGGGTGCAAAACACCTGTAACCAGATCACCCAATATCAAGAACCCCAGAATGTAGCTAATTGGAGTTGAAATTAATCAAGAGATTATTGAATAGGTGTAATCAGGAAGCCCAGATTCCAAGTGTGGGGCTTTAGAATCATAAGCAGACTGCAATAAGACGTCACCATATTACCTGAAGAAGTGATTTGAAGATGAAGAGTACAGACAAAGCCAGCACCCCATCAACCGCAAAAGAAACCTGGCGTCCCCCAGAGATCACAAGAAACCCAACACAAATTGAGAAGGTCAGCTACTTGGCAATTCAAATCAATGCTTATAAGAAGCGGTCAATGAAACTCCACATTTCCCCTTCCACGGGTACTCAAAATTTTCATCATTAGCTACCACAAAACTGGAAATCTAGTTCAGACCCAAACCCTAGTAAAAAAAAGACTCGTCACCAATGCATCGAGCCCGGTATTTCAGAAGCAATTGATTATATTACCAGTTGCGGGGAGAGAACAGAGGGCAGTACAGAGCGAGAAGCCCTCTTGGCACGTTTGGATATTTTCTTCAACCAGCTCTGCATCAATCTGAGGAACAAATCGATACTGCTCTCTGTCTCGTCGTCGTCATCATCATCATAATAGCCATCCTCGTCGATTCCTCCTTCCATCATCGCCCCAATTCCATCGAAGAAAGCTTCTCCCATCTCCATCGGCTCGGGCTTCGCCCCGTACGATCCATCCAACTGGTTAAAGTCATGAACCCCATGTCTCCGGTGTTATTAAACCCCGAGAGAGAGAGATGCAGTGCAGTGAAGGGAAAATTGGAAGACGGACGGAGTGGGATTTCTTGGGAGTACGAGATAAAAAAAAAAATCAGGGGAAAGGTTAAGAGATGGGATACCTTGCCATGGCATACCACGATTCTAGGGGTGCTGTGGGAAGTGCTGATGTTGTGGCGGTGGAAGGTGACGGAGTGGCGAAGGCGGGGAGAGGGAAGGTTTAGAGGCTGGTGGAGGAGATTGACGACGGCGGCCGTGGTGGGCCGGAGAGCTAGTAATGCGTCAGGAGACGCGGCTGCAACCTGTAGCATCTTCTCGTCCGGGCTTGATGAGCAAGTGGGCAACAAGTTTGAGCTCGAGTCTACTGCCGGTAAAGTGAGTAAACGGAAGTACTCAGCTTCGATTTCTTTCCTATCCAAAGTAGGGGTTAGCATCCTGTTCGGTAAAACCAATCAGAACCGGACCAAATCAAATTGAATCAAACCAAAACTAAAGTAATGTTCTCGATTCAGAATTCCAAAAAGAAATTGGCCTAATTCGGAAGTCATGGTAGTCACGAATGAACAGAGTTTCTAATTCCAAACCGACCAACATAAATTCTACTTACAACTAGCCTTGTGCCCGGCCGTTGGCCGAGATTGATATTGACGGGATTGTTGAATTGTCACTTTGTTCGAGTAATACTGAAATTCCTCTTATAGTAATAATTTTTTATAAAACTCAACTTCAATACCTGAATATACACCATTTCTAGTAGATAATTTGGATATATAAGGTGTTTTTCATATAGACCATCTAATTGTGTATTTTGGAATCACAATTTGTACCCTGCCATTGGTTGGATAGTTTAAAATCATTAAATAATTACTATTATATTTAACTATTTTTTATAGTTAATATCTTATGATGATATAATTTATGTTTTGATTTTGACCATAAGTATTGTGTTTCTAACATGAACTCACTCTAGGTTCTTTTGACCAAATATCAGTTCCCATAAAAAGAATATTAACCCCTAATGGAAAAACCTTGTACGCATTCATTGCACTTTTTTAAATTTTTTAAAAATTTCTCAAATTTAAGTTCTTAAAACAAACTCATTTAACACATAACTATAAAACATGTTGGTTAACTTAATCTAAAATACATCTTACAAAAAATTCACTTTACTTTTAAACACACTATTCACCATCTCATTGACAAACTTTATGTTTATAATAAAAGTACACATTTTTCATAAATTTTATTTTTTTCTAAACTCTTATCAAACATAATTTTTAACAAACTTTATGAAAATTTCTACAAATTATAGTTAGTAAATACCCGATTAGATATGCATATATATGAACGTACATATTTTATCCGTTTAATACTTTCGTTCCCGTATTACTATCAAACGACTCCACTTTTTCTTGTCCTTTTGATGGCTCTCGTACTAAACACGTATAAAATTCGTATAACACGTTTAATATCAATATTAAATGAATTGAATTAATAACTTGAATATTATTTATACATCTATCTATCTATCTATCTATCTATCAATAAAGTAGATTGAAGAGTTGCAAAACTCAGTATTAGAATAAATATTTTTTGTTATTATTTTTTAATTGGTAATTACTACTGAATTTAATTGGTAATTACTTGTATCCAAAAAAGGAAGAAAATATTCATAAGGGGGTGGGGGGATCATAGTTGCAATTTTTTAGGAAATTTTTTCGTGCACCACATGATAGAATAATAGGTAAATAAAATAAAATATGATTAATGGTCTGAAACGGGAAACCACCGCAGGGAAGTTTTTTTTTTTTACTGCACTATGATTGGCTAGAGGAGGCTGACGTGGAAGGCTAAGGAGTAAGTAAATTTGAATCCGTGAAGCTCTAAATTGGAAAACTCATATTATATTCTTTAGATAGATCTTCCCAAGTCCCAACCCTTACCCCACAAACCCAACCGAAGCCCAAACTCTCCCCAACTCAGTCCCCCACGACCCAAAATCTTAGCAACCCAAAGTCCTACACTGAGCTCAAACTCTCCCCCAACCCTAACTACCTAAGCCTAAGTCCAACAGGCTAAGAAGAGTCTCTCTCCGTTTTTGCTCTCTCAGATCTGCTCCTGCCGTCCACTTCACGGATGGACGCGGGTGCATCGTCAGTGTAACCTTCCCGACTCGAGCTCCATGAGACTAGAAACCCAAATCCAAACATAAAAACCATTATGCATCAAAATCAGTACAGAAAATCAAACGAGAAACCCGCATGCATCTCGAAAAGGGCACACCCGATCCTAAATTCAATTACCCTCCCATTGGTGTCGACATGATTTCAATTTTCTTCTTCACTGCCGCTTGTGGGTTCAATCTCTGATTGTGAGCAAACCGAGCTCTTCGTTGTCGCCCGTCGGTGGATTGGAGCATCATCGTCTCCTTTCCCCTTCACCACGCACTTAAAGATCTCACCATTCCTCCACTGGTTCATCCACAACTTGCGTCGAGTCACCGAGTGAAAACGAGAACATATTTGAGGGAGATGGAGTGCAATATGTGAGGAGAAATGGGGAAGTTTGTTTGTTGGAGAGAGAGACTTTGTTAGTGATGTGCTCATGGCATCCTCAGTCTATGATCCATTTTTTATCTAAGGATTTCTTAGCGACCATGGTTACAATAAGTGCTCTAAATGAGAAAAAGACGTTGAGCCTTTGCCACCACTAAGGAACCCCATGAGTTAACGATATTGATCTATCGATAGTCTTTTTATTATTCAGAAACCTCAGCCTCACGTGTCACTTTTGTGACAGTGGGTCCTACTAAATCTGGGGGCCACCTGCAATCAAATTCGACGCCAACTGGGCTTCGCCCCAGCAACTTTGTACCTCCGGAAACACCAACGGGCCTCACTTGGATTCGAACATGTGATTTGCAACTTCCAACTCTTCACTGTCGCGACAGCTTTACCATTAGACTATCTTACCTTTGGTTCCATCAATAGTCTTAGATGGATGATCGTCTATTTCGGTGACATGAACAACCCTGAGACCAACCTTAGTATCATAAAAAAGTGTGTCAATTTCATTTATCTCTTGGTTTCTCATATATTGAAGGGTAGCCTACCAACCGATATAATCTCTCTTTGATGGGCCCTTACTTGTTGAGTGATTGCACTTTATCCATCTCCCAGCATTTTGGCACGCACCACCATCAGTTATAATTGCATTTGTTTGTTTAGTTGTGGCCTCCAATTTTTTTTTCTTCTTATTTGTTGATCATCCTAAGTAGGGGTGGGCAACCGGTTCTGTAAATCCGAACTGAATCGAACCGAAATCAAATTGAAAACGAAATAATGCTATTTGATTCGAAATTCGGAAGGGAAATATAGATATTTCGGAAATCAGGGTTCTTTCTACCGAACCGAAATTCCGAATTTTCGACCGAAAAACCGAATTACTATAATTGCAAGCTCTATATGGTGGATTTTTATGTTTGTACTTGTTTTGATACTTATATATTTGAATCGAGAAATTTTACAATGCTATATAGCATTGGTGCTATAGGTTTTTGCCTTTAAGGTAGAACTTCAAGTTGTACCTTTAACGTTATGGTATAACTTCAGCTTGTACCTATACTATTTTACAAATTCTTTTATGGTACAACTTGAACTTGTAGCTTTATGTGATGGTACAACTTAAAGTTGTGAAGTTGTACCATAACATAAGGGTGCAAATTCCTTTATGGTACAACCCAAACTTATACATGTTACGTTATGGTACAACTTTAAGTTGTACATCAAAGCACCCATGCTTTATAGCATAGTAGAAGTGCTCATTTGAATCATGTTAGCGTTTTATGGCTTTATGTGTTGAAATGTTTGCTTTTAACATTGATGATGCATATAGTTGCGTATTTATTGTTTACATTAGTGGTGAAAAATAATTTAAAAAGGAGAAGATACAAGTAGTCTTACAAATTCGATTTTGGGTGAAATTCCAAACCGAACCGAATTATAATTCGGTTTAGACCAACCAAACCAAATTATAATTCGTTTCGAATTTGGTTTGAGGTTTGGTGGAATTCGGGGACCCGATATGCATAATTGCGATTGGCTTGATGTTAAGTGCACGAAACCTAATAACTTCCGGCGTTTCGCGAAAATGGGAATATTTTACAAAGCATCTGAAACTCGTAAATTATAAGAAGACAAATACTTTCTATCACAGACAAATATCTTGTTGTTGTACAATCAATTGAAAGCTAAGAGATTTGGATAGCCTTCATTGAGATTCACCGGTTGATCAATCTACTGAAGCAAATATGTAAGCCACCAGTCTTAACTGGAAATCCAGATTTTGTTTGTCTCTCTCCTATGCCCTTCGACACATTGTATCATATGAACAAATGTGACAACATAATGGGGTATTTAAGGGGGTAAAATATCTCGGATGCCACTTAAATTTGAGAATTGAGGCATATATACGACTTAAGTTTGAATAGGACGTCGAATATTAAATTTTGTAAGAACTAAAATTTTACATGTATTATTTTCAAATAACATATAACAATGAGTAGACTCGCGTAACTCATACCCGCCCTGATCCATACTTGGTACATGACGAATATGAATATTGAGTGACCTTCCTCCCTACCCATTGGCATCACTAACCTAGTATCCCTCCACATGACGTCATAATAAAGTTCAATTGCATTGTTAGTTACACCAAGACACCGGTCTTTGGCATATCTCCCAATCGGGAAGCTCCATTCCAACGAAAAAGTCTCCCACCACGACACCGTCCGTCAGCATAACTTCCATTCCGTTTCCACTGTTCCTTATAATTTTCCCGGTCCGAGAAACCGTAAAGTTCCAACATTTCATGGCAACTTAGGAAGCTTCCTCCTCCTCCGCCGCCGTCTCAACTCTCACGCTCCGTTACCAATGTCGGATTCCAACGCCGCAATGTCCCTTCTCTGCCAATCCACGGGGCAGGGTTGCGCGTGGGGGTGATAATCCGTCTACACATATATTTTAAGCGGAAGAAATGAAAATAAAGTTACGCGGTTTATTCGGATACTTTTAATGAAATAGAAAATTCAAACAAACCAAAAAAATAAACCAGGAAATTGTGAACGAAGCAGGAACAAGAGAGAGAAGGTCAGAGAGAGAGATCGAAGCAGCGGGAGGAGGAAAGGGAAAGATATTTTTTTTCTTCTTGTCACCCCCCTCTCTGTTCCATCGACGTTACCCAGGAGGGGATTTGCGTTCCCGAGGAGCAGATTGAAGTTCGAATAGGATCACTACCCTTCCGGCGGGATTGTGAATCAGCGGTTTTCAATTCCGATCTCGGTGGCGGGGTTGGGAAGAGGCGGAGGAGGAGGAGGGAAAGATGAGTGGCGGCAGCGGATGGGAGAGGATTAGGTCGACGAGAGGGGGAAGGTTGTCACGGGAAACGAGTTTGACAGGGCGGACGGCGAGGACGGTGAGGCTCGGCCGCGTACAGCCACAGGCGCCTGGTTACCGTACAATTTACTGCAATGATCGCGAAGCCAATCTCCCCGTCCGATTCAAGGTTAGGCTTCCGATACTTGGAAATGGAGACAAATGCCTGCCTTTTGCTTTTGCTTTTTTCTACGCCACCTGAGAGGATTTTGCTTTGCTTTCCTCTCTTCGTTTAGGGCGTTGTTTTGCTTCGCTGAGGAATAGGTTGGAAAAAGATTGGTTATTTAGGTTCCCCCTGATGATGGGTACTTCACTCAACTGAGTGTCGTAAATTTTTCTCTTTCAGTTTGATTTTGAAGGGGGAAACTTGGAATGTAAATAAATCAGTTTTTGTCGTTGGTCTTTGTTTCCAAATTGCGCGACCTTCAGAGAACATATATATATTTTAAGTTGGTAATTGCAGTATGTATTCCATCTTGAAGATTTTGTTTAACCTGATCGGGCCAATCTCGGTGCCTTGCTGGATCGTTCTTCACTTTAGGAGTAGGAAGTCCTGTAAGCTTATGCGGTAGAACCAATCGATCAGCAAGTCTAAGTCCAGTCCTGTAGTTTTGTGATCCTTGACGATTTGATAAGAATTAAATTAGGAATTAATGTTAAAAAAGTCATATGCCTTTCTCTCTCGTTGTTTCTCTTGCTTGTTTGTGTGTATATCGGCAGTCTGTATACCAGGGTTCGTCAACAGATTGAAACCTTCCAGGCTCATAATAATTTAGCTTTAGTTTTATCAATTATGTGTGGGAAATTTCTCCCCTATGAACAGTTTGTGCGGGAGTTCTTCAGTGGCTGCTGGTTTGATAGGTTATTGGAAGGAATGGCATTTTAGTTTGGCTTTTCATATCATCTACGATGAAGAAGCTGCTAAGTGTACTGATGGTAGAGTAGTCAGTTTGATCTTTGATGGCAATTCAGATGATCTTCAAGTGAAGGTTAAGTGTTAAAGTCTCCAAGGGAAACTTCAGAGGAGCAGGCTTCATTTAGGTTACTTAGTATTTGAATCCAAGCTTAAGGAACATTCCTTCTGTGTCCTATTGATAAGGAATTTGTGAGAGGCAACTCTACCTATTTTTATTAAAAAATAGATCTTACTATCTTTTGATAGATGAATTCCCTTGGAACAACAAATAAGAATTCTGATTGTTACTATAATGTAAGATCAGTAGTGTCATTATTACAATTCTATAAACACGAAAATTAACAATCATTATCGGGGGAAAACAACAACAAAATGAATGATACTGAATTGAGAAAAGCTGATATACTTATTTATAAAAACAATTTTGCTTTTCAAATTTTCATTGGTGAGATTTATTAATCTTACGTTCCAGGTTCAGTGCTCCTTGCATATCTTCTCGTAATTGGTTTTAGAGTTATTTTGTTTAGATGATTCAACTTTGTATTAAGCTGTTAATTTATTTTATTAGTTTGTACTTTGTGTTCCATAGAATAGTCTGCCACCATGGTCTTTTTTTCTTATCAATAATGTTGGCCCCGAGGTTTGAACTTAAACTGATTAGGACGTCTTTCCTCACCACTAGGCCAGCCTCTCTAGGTTAGTGGTTGATTGCTAATTATTTGAAATGATTTGTTTCAGGGGAACTCTATATCGACGACAAAGTACAACTTCTTGACCTTTCTACCCAAAGGGTTGTTTGAACAGGTAAACTAGGTTCGATCAGAAACTTGTTGTTGGTTCTTGACTGTCGTCATGTCTATCAACCTGCATCAGAGGAGCAATGTCTTACTAGACATTTAAATCTTGAGCATGATTACCCCATAGAGATCTATTCCAAATTTCAAAGTTGGACATTATTAGTCCAGTGATGCCTATCTTTGTGCTGAAACTTTAACTAAAAAGAACTGAAAGTGAAATGAGAAGAAATTCAATGGTGCTTTTCCAACCTCAAGTCAAAGTAGAAGGAAAAATATGGGAAAGAATGGAGACATAGCCAACACTATTATTTGTTAAGGTGGCTAGTACTTAGGTTTAGTGTAATGTGCAAATGTCTCCATAATTATTGATTACCCTTTTTCTAGAAGAACAACATTAGGCTTCAGACCACTACAACATATGATCAAATGTGTTCGTCTAATTAATGTAATGAAATAACTCCATAGGCTAGTCCCTGTAAGTGAATATAGTACAGAGATTGGTACCAAGGAGGGCGGTTGCTTGTGACATAGTTCCTGAGATTTGTGAGGGTGGTTTGGGGTTTTAGTTTCTGGTTGGTTGTATGCATCTGTCATCTGTGCATTCCTGTGCTGGTTAACTTCTTTACTGAGAGGAATTGTTTCCCTAAATTGGCAGTTCAGGCGGGTGGCTAACTGCTACTTTCTCTTTATTTCTATTCTCTCAATGACACCTATCAGGTAACCGGACTAATTTCTTTTACAAACTTCTTGCTGTTTCGTCTCTACTAATGTGAGAAGATAGCTTGTTTTGTTCTTTTTTTTGTTCAAGTTTGGCTGTGCATGATATAGAACAACTGCTGCCTTCTTTCGTTTGTATAATCATTTCTTGGGTTTCTCTGTAGAGCTTTGCATTAATATGCTGTCTTGTAATGCAGTCCTGTTAATCCAGTGACAAATGTCGTCCCCCTTAGCTTGGTGCTTTTTGTTTCTCTGATCAAGGAGGCATTCGAGGACTGGGTGAGTAGCATAAGCACATGACACCTTTGAATTTTTACTATTTATGGCTTAAGCTGTTTCCAACTTGTCTGAGTTAAACCTTTTCCTTTGTGAAGTAGAAGGGTAATTCAGGGTTGAATTTCACTAGGAGCGTTCAAGTCGAGGCCACTGCTGATATATTTTATATTTGCCTGTTTTCTTGTCTGAAACAGAAACGCTTGCAGAATGATATGGTGATAAACAATAATCCTGTAGATGTGCTGCATGATCAAGTATGGGAAACTATTCCTTGGAAGAAGTTGCAGGTTGGAGACATTGTCAGGGTAAGTCATTTATTTGTCTTTCTCGTTTTCTAAACAAGAGATGGGAGAATAACATTCCCACTGTTGGCCCTCTGTGCTTGCAACCTCAGTATTTTCTGTTCATTTTATATCCTTGTGTCCTGTTTTACTTTATTATTTGTTTAATTTTACTGTACCACTCCTAGACCTCCTAATATAAGTATTTAATTATTCGGAGCTATTAGAGCGGGATCCACTTTTTGGGGAATATGAGTGATTCAGTATGGTAAGGATACATATAAGGGGGTATGTTCTTCTCAGGATTTTTTTCAAAAATGTGTGGAGTAGATTTTAATTGGTGGGATGAGTCTATGGTAAGCGGCTTCCTGGGGCTGGGATGGAAGAAGGTGCTGTTGAGGAAGCATCCATTTTGCAGTGGTACCGTATAATAAGCGAGAGCCTGCACCAATAACAAATTCCGCAGTCATATAGGCTGCGTGACTAATACAGTTGTTTATGGGATTTTTGCTGTTAGTGAGAGTGGTAGTATGAGAACAGGATGGAGAGTTTCCTATTTCAAGTTCACTGGCAGTTACTATTCGATTTATCGTTCTTTTTCTTTGAACATTCTGTGATTGCTTATGGTTTTCTTTACTGTCGACTTCTTGAGAAATTTCTCAATCGCAGTTTACTCATAATTGTGACCTAAGATGTTCCATCCTTCACAGATTAAGCAGGATGGATTCTTTCCTGCAGATCTGCTTTTCCTAGCTAGTACAAATGCAGATGGTGTCTGTTATATCGAGGTTCTACTTTTTCCCTTCCATCAGCCTTGTTTATCGTTCCTTGTTGTAATTGCTATAATTAGTTCCGTGCTTATATCAGTGTAATTAATACCAGTTTGATACTTTTGGTATATCCCTTACTACTGGCAGACTTCGAACTTGGATGGTGAAACAAACTTGAAGATTAGAAAAGCTGTGGAAAGGACTTGGGATTATTTGATCCCAGAGAAAGCTGTTGAATTTAAAGGTGATGATCCAGAAATCTTGTATCAAGTGCATCTGAGCACATTTACGCTTCGGCTTATGAGATGTGAATGATACTCTTAAGTACGGAGTTAGAAATGACTAAAATTAAATTTAGTGTAGTTCAATAATTTAGGCTCTGTGCTGTTCCTTTCACATCTGTTCTATGAAACTTTATGGGTTTCTGACTCTATTTCGTTTCTTACTGATAACTTCTTAATATTCCTGTGTACTGGCTTGCTGATATTACTTTGGTTAATGCAGGTGAAGTGCAGTGTGAGCAGCCAAACAACTCATTGTACACTTTCACTGGCAATCTTATCATCGAAAACCAAACGCTTCCTCTTTCTCCAAACCAACTTCTGTTGAGAGTATGTCTTCTCTCTCTTTGTTTTGTTTACGGTTTTATGTTTAATCTCGTATCAATGAGTTAACCACATCCAGTGCTGTATCTTTGTTATCTAAATGATAAAATGATGATGAAATAACTGTGAACTTGTTGAAACTTGAGTTTTCTGCAGGGTTGCAGTCTTAGAAATACTGAGTACATTGTTGCGGCTGTTATCTTTACAGGACACGAAACAAAGGTTTGTACCATAACTCTCTATCTTTCACTCATAGCTTGCCGCTTCCTTATAAAAATACTTTTATCATTTGGATGACTATTTCAAATATATTCTTTAAATTGTATCAATTGGGAGGTGGTTGTGCCATGGACAAGTTTCTTTTTTGTGAGCGTTGTCCTGCACGCTTTTCATGTTCGTAGAATCTACTCACATTAGTTAATATGGCCATTGATCAAGTGCAGGTAATGATGAATTCCATGAATGTTCCATCCAAAAGGAGTACATTGGAGAGAAAACTTGACAAGCTTATTCTTACTCTTTTCGGAACTCTCTTTGGTATGTGCCTGGTTGGAGCCATAGGAAGGTTAGATATGACATCTGATCCTATTTTACTCTCCTTTTGTCCTGTTTCTGCCTTTCTGGTGGGTGTTGCTCTTAAGTGACAACTTCTTCTTCTGAGTTTCTGCAGTGGGATATTCATAAGTAGTGACTACTACTACCTTGAGCTTCAAAGAGGAGTAGGATTGGAGTTTAACCCTAGCAGCCGTTTTTCGGTACCCTTTCTCCCTTATGTTATTTCTATTTGAACGTCCACCTAGGGATGAAAAGGAGGAAAAGGCTGAAGGGGAGAGTTTATAATTCTCAACGGTATACTTGTGTATTTGTACAGGTTGTCGTTCTAACATTGTTTACACTACTCACTCTCTACTCAACAATCATTCCCATTTCTTTATATGTCTCTATTGAGGTGGGTTCGGCTTCCGTTATCATTAGTTGTCCATTGTCCCTTGGGGAACTTGTTAAGCTTGTCAACTTAATGGTCTTCAACTATTTTTCTAGATGATCAAGTTTATTCAGTGTGCTCAATTCATCAACAAGGATTTGCACATGTATCATGTTGAAACCGACACCCCAGCATTGGCTAGGACTTCGAATTTGAATGAGGAGCTTGGACAGGTAAAAGCTATATTGGGTGCATATGTGCTGATGATCATTGCAGTTGGAACTTAGTATAGGGCTATTAATATACATATTCCTTTGAAATTATGTGTTTTTCAGGTGGAATATATATTTTCAGACAAGACTGGAACTTTAACGCGGAATTTAATGGAGTTCTTTAAGTGTTCGATTGGAGGAGAGGTTTATGGAACTGGTTTCACTGAGATAGAGCGGGGTGGGGCACAAAGGATTGGTGCTAAGCTTCAAGAAGTATGCCTTGCTTCCATTTCATGATACAATGCATGCGTTTTGTCTTCAAAGTGATGCATTTTTTTGGTACTGTCCTAATGTTCTGAAGACCAGGACAATGTTCAATCATTGCAGGCACAGAGATCACCCCATGCAGTGCATGAGAAAGGGTTCAATTTCGATGATTCTAGGATAATGCGAGGAGCTTGGAGGAATGAGTCTAATCCTGATGTATGCAAGGTGATATACTTATTCATCAGCACTAGAAGCACTAAACCTATAAGCTAGCCATGTGGTTGTTGCATGCCTTTCTAAGCTCCGGAGGAAATACCCAACTTTTGTTGTGGATTGTCAAGTGATGATTGATTATATAAGTGTTTCTGTAGTTTAGTTTTTATTGGTTTCTTGTAGATGTCCCAGTCTTATTTTTTCTTTTGGTTCATGTCTTGCAGGAATTTTTCAGGTGCCTTGCTATATGCCATACTGTACTTACTGAAGGTGACGAGTCCCCTGACAAGATTACATACCAAGCTGCATCTCCTGATGAGGCTGCTCTTGTCACTGCTGCAAAGAATTTTGGTTTCTTCTTCTACAGGTTGACAACTGCAATGATGCTGTGTTCTGCATTTTCTCTTCTCCTTGTGAATTTATGAGCTTACATTTTATCAGAGAAGATGTTCAGTTCAAACTAGATGTCTAGGCTAGCCAATCTGTCATCAGTGGGAGGAAACCAAATACTGATTGCTAATGGTTTCATTTCGTCAGGCGTACCCCTACTATGATATACGTTCGTGAATCTCATGCGGAGAAGATGGGGACTATTACAGATGTTCCTTATGAGATTTTGAATGTTCTCGAGTTTAACAGGTGGAGACATGTCTTTCTTGGATATGAGTGTTTAGTTTCTGATTTGTTGCTTAATATTTAACTTCTGTATCTTTTTTTTTTTTTTTTGAGTTTAGCACAAGGAAGCGACAGTCCGTTGTTTGTAGGTACGCAGATGGTAGACTTGTATTGTACTGCAAGGTGATGCTCCTATGTAATTGGTCTTCTAAAAAGATTACATTATCAAGTAAAATCACGGTGGGAATGGTCCTTTACTGAAATCCTGCTTTCTCAGGGTGCCGACACTGTAATTTATGAGAGACTGGCTGCCGAGAGCGATGAGCTTAAGAAGATAACTCGGGAACACTTGGAGCAGTTTGGATCTGCTGGGTTGCGTACTCTCTGCCTTGCCTATAAGGATTTACACCCAGAAACATATGAAAGCTGGAATGAGAAGTTTATCCAAGCTAAATCTTCTCTTAGAGATCGCGAGAAAAAGCTTGATGAGGTAGTAGAGTGACTTCTTGTCAAGTTTATCTATAAGTAAAACTCAACAAGCTTCACTGCCTAATCTTTAGCATCATGAGTGTTTATATCTAGTTTTTGTTGGTATAGTAGTTTGTGGTGGTTGTTCTTAATGAGGCTAATTATGAAAATTATACAGGTGGCGGAACTTATAGAAAAGGATCTCATCTTGATTGGGGCCACAGCTATAGAAGACAAGCTTCAAGAAGGGGTACCAACTTGTATAGAGACTCTTGCTAGAGCTGGAATTAAGATTTGGGTCCTGACAGGTGACAAGATGGAAACTGCAATAAATATTGCTTACGGTGAGTTCTTCAGAGTGACCTAGCACTAATTGTTTGTTTGGACTTGTGCCTGTTTACTGTTACTTGACTCATCTCTTTGGTTGTTGCAGCTTGCAACTTGATTAACAATGATATGAAACAGTTTATCATCAGTTCAGAAACTGATGCGATTCGAGAAGTAGAAGAAAAGGTGAATAGTTACTCCATCTGTTTGACATTAGATGCATATATAATATATATTAATATTTCTTCCCAACTACTGGGTTTTTTGTAATATAATTGATAGCTCTATTGATTGACTACTTTCTTATTTCAGGGTGACCAGGTAGAAATTGCACGGTTTATGAAGGAAGAAGTTAAAGGAGAGCTCAAAAGGTGTCTCGAGGAAGCGCAACACTCTTTGTGCACTGTATCTGGACCCAAGTTGACACTTGTTATTGATGGAAAGTGTTTAATGTATGCATTGGACCCTAGCTTGCGTGTAATGCTGCTAAATCTGAGTCTGAACTGCAGTTCAGTGGTCTGTTGTCGAGTTTCGCCTCTGCAGAAAGCTCAGGTATTTGCCTTGTGGAGCATCTTTTAATAATTTAGTTTTAGAATTAGATATTGAACATTCAATGAATGTTGGAGAAGCTTCTTCTTGTGCTCTTCGAGCTGGACTTTAACATGACATGAATGTTGGAGAAGCTTTAATAATTCAGTTTTAGAATTATATATTGAACATTGAGAGTGATGGCTGACAGTAAGGGTATGGGCATCTTAACTTCTAATATACAGCAGAGGATGATGTTTCAGTTTCATGCGCCTTGCTGGTTTTCTTTAGTTATTAGTTAGATGTACCACTTTTTGTGTTATGGTTGTCAAGAATATCCTGATGCAAGATGAAGTGTTCGTCCAAAAATGTTATCGTGCTATCTTGCTGACTTTCATGTAGCACACTGCCATTAAACTTCAAATGAACATTGTACTTTCAGGTTACTAGCCTAGTCAAGAAAGGTGCGCGGAAGATAACCCTTAGTATTGGAGATGGTGCTAATGATGTTAGCATGATTCAAGCTGCCCACATTGGCGTTGGAATAAGTGGGCTGGAGGGTATGCAAGCAGTCATGGCTAGTGACTTTGCAATTGCCCAGTTTCGGTTTCTTACAGATTTACTTTTGGTACATGGACGGTTGTCTTACCTCAGGATATGCAAGGTCTGATATGTTGGGTTGTTTGTGCATACATTTTCTATTTTTGAATCTTGATTCTTAATTGTTGCCATGATGTAGAAGGCTTTCCCTGTTCGTACTCTTGCATCCGGTTTATTTCAAGTTTTGACTTTTTTTGTTACAGGTGATCACCTACTTTTTTTACAAGAATCTTACATTCACTCTGACGCAATTTTGGTTCACATTTCATACCGGCTTCTCTGGTCAAAGGTTTTATGATGATTGGTTCCAGTCATTGTATAATGTCATCTTTACCGCTCTTCCAGTGATTATTGTTGGGCTTTTTGACAAGGCAAGTCTCTATTTTCAACCCTTTATATAAGAATTCTAACCTTGTTAGCACATTTCCATTCACTTACAACTATCAGTAGCTCGAGTAAAGCTGATATAGTGTTGAATTATTACATCTCTTCCAGGATGTTAGTACGGCATTGTCGAAGAAGTACCCTGAACTGTACAAGGAGGGGATAAGAAACATGTTCTTCAAGTGGCGAGTTGTGTGGACGTGGGCTTTTTTCTCCGTTTACCAATCTCTGATCTTCTATCACTTTGTGACGATCTCTGGTACTAGTGGTAAAAATCTCTCGGGAAGGATGTTTGGACTTTGGGATGTTAGCACAATGGCATTCACTTGTGTTGTGATCACTGTCAATTTACGGCTTCTTCTGATGTGCAATTCAATAACAAGATGGCATTACATTAGCGTCGGTGGAAGTATTCTGGCATGGTTTGTCTTCATTCTTATCTACTCACTGCTACGGGTAAGTCCTTTTGTGGATGGAGACTCTTGTCTTCTGAAGTCACCATTTCATTTTGGTTAATTTACAGCTTTCTAAGATTCTGGCTGCTGGCATTTCTTTCTGCAGGAGAATGTTTACTTCGTCATTTATGTTCTGATGGGGACATTCTATTTCTACCTTACAATAATTCTTGTGCCCATTGTTGCTCTTCTTGGAGACTTCATCTATCAAGGGTGAGTTCATTCACCCCACAGTTTTCTTCCCATAATGCCAGTCACCTGTAGCCTGTGTGCAGTTTTACAATAATGGCTTCTTTGTGAACCTTGTATTGCTGCAGGGTGGAGAGATGGTTCTTCCCATACGACTATCAGATAGTACAAGAGATGCACCGAAATGATCCCGAAGACAACTCAAGGGCTGGGTTATTGGAGATTGGGAACCGCCTGACCCCACAGGAGGAAAGAAGCTATGCGATAGCTCAACTACCAAGAGAGCTATCCAAACACACAGGCTTCGCCTTTGATTCCCCAGGTTACGAGTCGTTTTTCGCTGCCCAGCTGGGTGTCCACGCCCCCCAGAAGGCGTGGGATGTTGCCAGAAGAGCCAGCATGCGGGGGAAGCCAAAGCCATCGAAGAAGCACTGAATGAAGTTTCTGGGAACACAGATGTGTTGTACAAAGAAGAATTTTTGTAGTCCGTCCTCCACAGCTTGCTGACTTGATTGAGATATCCCTTAGAAGTAAAAGGAAACGATAAGTTTGTATATTTATTTAGATGCCTATCACCTGTTTGAGAAGAGTCCCCACCCATATTATCCTCAGTTTCTTGGACCATAGATGTATTCTTTGGAGGGGTTTAGCCGTGTCATTATTAGGGTATTTTTGTCCCAGCTGTACAGCTAATGTTATATTTTTAATGGAATACACAGAAAATCCATTGTTCTGAAGAAGTTTGATATAGATCCACCATAACCATCTATCTTGTCGGTAAATCTTTTACTGTTTGTGAATTAATGTAGCCTACTTTGATGCAGTTTCTGATGTTCAGAAAGTTGCTGTAACTGCTTCAAGTCGGAGAGATTGGACACGGTATCTAATACCAAAAGCAATAGGAAGCATGCATTATTCATCGGTATTCTAGTTATGGAGACTGTAAGAGTGTGCATCCAGTTCTTCCAGCTGGGGCGTGATTTGAGGATTATGAGGTAGGAAGAGGAACCAACTAGCTTCTCTTGTATATTCGAAGAAGATCCAACCAATTGGCTTCTTTTTCTTGCTCATTTGTAATGCTACCAGGTTTGACGTCACGCCGTGACACTGTTACCACAGTGTTTGCCATCAATCAATAAGCAAATAAGCAAGTGCATGGGCGATAGTGATGACAATGGGACAGGATGGGCGGATACCCTAATACCCAAATTCGTCCCGCATTAAGTGCGAATCAGGTAATCTGAACTTCTATTTATCGCCCTAAGTTTTCAAATAAATCGCACTAAACAAAATGAACGGACAATTTTGTCCCAATTAAAAAAACATAAGCCCTATACTCAACTATCAAACGCCCCTCTCTTGTCTGTCTTCCCCGACGAGCCGTCCGCCTCCCTCTGCAATTCGCCGCCTCCATCGCCAGACGGGTAAGAGATGCGACTCTGTCCCATTCACCGCCGCCGTTTCTCCCCAGCAATTTGCCACCGCCGCCGCCCACTACTTCCGTTCTCTGCTCAGCTAGCCTGCGAATCCTCCTGCCCACCACCCCTCTACTCCTTCTCTTCCCTTGCCCTGTGGCCCTGTCTCCCAGCAGCCGAAACTCGTCGTCGTCGAGCCCCGCCGCCCTCCTAGAAACAAGCCGCTGAAACACACCGTCGTTGGGCCGAACAGGAAGGAGAAGCTGGGCGGGTCGAAAATCAGCCTCCAACCAGATCCGAGCGGATTAGATATCCGCCCTCAACCAGGCACGAGCGTGTTGGAACCTGCCTGACCAGCGTCGGGATGGTTGGAATCCCGTCGATGGCGCGCTAGAAAAAGGTCAGGAACCCATCCCGAGCCCGCCGTCGACGGGCTTTCAACCCGTCCGACGCTCGGAAACCAAAATAAGAACTTCTTCTTCTGCCAGCAACAATCCGGGAGCGGCGGCTGGACACCGGTCGGTTTCCTTCTTGGTAGAGCAGGACCTAGGGCGGCACCGGCAGGGAGATTTTGACGGAAACTCAAAAGTCAAAATTGAAGACAAGGGCAATGACGTAATTTCAGCAGGGTTTAGGGCGATCTTTTTCGTAATTTCCAACGAATGAATACGGGTATTACAAGGGGAGTTACATCATAATGAATTAAGAAAAATGTTAAGAAAAGCATATTAACCCTAATCTCTCATAGGCGAAGCATCCCCGATGTTGGTAGTAGAAAGCCCCGATTAGTATGCAGGTACCCCCAGTGGTTTAGTAGGCCCCACTGTCGCTCAAGCGGCACGTACGTGGGGCTGAGGTTCCCTGGGGTCCAGGATAGGGTGCATAACCCATGATTATGCACCCGTCAGTAACCCAACAGGAGCCGTCCATCTGGAGCGGGGAGATCTAACGGCTGGGGTCGGAGCGGGGTGGGGCAGGGGTATTTTTGTCCATTTTTTTAATTTATGTCCTTCGCTCGTTATTCCTTTTTTGTTTATCCTTGGCCGAGCTGGAATTGGATTCATGAGAGAGAATGAGAAGTAAACAGAGCAATCGAGAGTTTTTCTCCGAAGGATCTGTCGATGGCGAGAAGGTTGGTGGAGGACGCGATTCTTAGCTTAATCGGCAGCGGACTTGCGAGTTATAGTTGTTAGAAGGTCTGTGGAGGACGCGATTCTTCTTCTTCTTCTTGCTCGAGGTTTTGGCTCGATTTGTTTGTGTTGAAGTTTCTGCTGGCCGTTGTTTGGTCTCCGTCGAGGTAATTTATAGTGATAGTAGGATTTCACGTTTTCGCATTGATTCCGTTCTGTAATTTGTTTTTGATGTTGTGTATATATGATTATACCATGCAATACCATGTTATACCATATATCTGCGTTTTCTCTTTTGTGCTCTCTGTTTTCTGTTCTTTGTGATCAATGATCTCATTATGTTTGTATAAGTTTGTTCAGTTGATTGATCCGTAGTTGAATTTATGTTTTGTGCAGGAATTTTTTGAATCTTCTTTGTTGACTGAGCTTTTTTAGTGCAATGAGTGATCTCAATCAAGGCGTCATTGTTTCTTTGAATGAATCTAATACTGGATCTAGTTCTTCTAATAGTGTTGTTGAATCGGAAGGTAAGAATTTTTAAATGTGTTTGGTAAGTTGATGTTTGTATATATGTTATACCATACAGTACCATACTGGTATGTTATAGTATTTTTGCATATGAGTGTTGTGTTTTATTTTTTGTAGATTGTTTTTATCGTTGTTGTGATTTTATGTTGTTGTATATATGTTTATATCATGCAATACCATGCAATATCATGTTATACCATATATTACCATGTTATACCATAAAGTACCATACTGGTATTCTATGGTATTTTTGCATATGAGTGTTGTGTTTTATTTGTTGTAGATTGTTTTTATAGTTGTTGTGATTTTATGTTTCTGTATATATGTTATACCATACAATACCATGTTATACCATAAGAAACTATACTGGTATTTGTATAGTTTTGATTGTAATAAACTTTACCATATGATACTATGGCGGTATTATATTTTGTACAGCATTAATGTTTCATTGTTTTTATGTTTTAGGTTTTGATGGTATTGATCCTAATGTTCGAAGTTCCTGGAACAATCTTGAGTTCGCTACAACTGATGATGCATATAGATTTTATGTGGATTATGGGAATTATAAAGGTTTTTGTGTGAGGATTTACCATCAGTCGGCATGTCCGAAGCTTAATAATGGTTCAAATGCGGTTTATTATATCAAGTATTGTTGCAATAAGGAAGGCTGGAGGATTGGTAGTGAGAATAATCCTGCTAATCGTGGTTCTATTGATGTGAAGGCTCGTATTCGTCATGTTCCAGAAATTAGGGGTGGATGTGATGGTGCCTATATTCGAATTAGGTGGTTTAAGCAGTTCAAGTGTTACAAGATTTATAAGTGGTATGATGTGCATAACCATGACATGATTCCTGTGGCTATGCGTCACTACATGAGATCGAATAGAAAAATGGCTCCTGTGTATAAACTGTTGGCAGATGTGAATGATGCTGCTGGTATAGGTGCGACTGCTTCGTATAATGCAATTAGTACAGCTGGTGGTGGTCGGAAGTGTATTGGTTTCACAAGAAATGATTTGAAGAACCACCTGCGGACAGTGAGGACTTCATCAATGGAGCATGGTGATGCAACTGCATTACTAAAACACTTTAGAAGACAAGCTAAGCTGGATCCTGGCTTTTTTCATGAGGTAGAGGTTGATGTGGATGAGAATATTGCTAGTATTTTTTGGGCAGATGAGAAGATGCGGATGGATTATCATTTTTTCGGGGATTCAGTTAGTTTTGATACTACATACAGAACGAATAAAGAGTATCGACCACTAGGTATGTGTTCTTATTTTTGTGATTATTCTGTATTATAGTTATTTTTATTTGGTATTATGTTGTTATCTGTTAATACTATGGTGGTATTTTGTGGTATTCATTATGTTGTTATCTGTTAATACTATGGTGGTATTTTGTGGTATTCATTTTTTTAACACTGTGTACCACATGGTATGTGCAGCTCTGTTTGTTGGTTTCAACAACCATCATCAACTCACTGTGTTTGGAGCTGCCCTTCTATATGATGAAACAACGTCAACGTTTGAGTGGTTGTTTAATCAGTTTTTGGAATGCATGGGAGGTGTGAGCCCGTTGTCTATTTTTACTGATCAGGCTGCTGCAATTGCTGCTGGTATAAGGTCTGTTTTCCCAAGTTCTTTCCATGGATTGTGTTCATGGCATATCTCACAGAATGCAGTTGTTAATTTGGGATCTTTGTGTGATTCGGATTTCCTTTGTGAGCTTAGCTATTTGATGTACAATGTTGAGGATGAGGATGATTTTGAGTATAATTGGAAAAGAATGATAGATAAGTGTTTCCCTGGGAAAGGACCTCTTGGACACAGTTGGTTACAAGGTATTTACAAGGTGAGGGAGAAGTGGTCATCGGCTTGGGTGAATTCTCATTTTGGTGCTGGTATGAAGAGCACCCAGTTAAGCGAGTGTTGCAACAGTAATCTTCGTCATTACTTGCAGTCAGAATTTAGTATTCCTAGGTTCTTTGTACATTTTGATAGGATGCTTGATAATAAGAGAGATGCTGAAGAAGAAGAGGAGTACAGAGCACTTTCTACGTTTGCTGATTGTCGCTTTTCAAGCAGTGCTATTGTCAAGCAAGTTGCTGATCTATATACCCCAAAAATATTCCAGATTTTTCTCGGGCAGTACAAAGAATCTCTTTCATACAATGTTTTCCCTAATACAGAGTTAGCTCAAGAAGGGAATGTAAAGATCTTTGATGTCTTTACATTGTTAGCAGACTTTTCAAGGTTTGACAGCAGACTGCTCATAGTTGATTTTGATAATGGTGAAATTAAGTGTACTTGTCGCAAGTGGGAGTCAAGTGGTTTGTTGTGTAAGCATCAATTGAGGGGATATGATTTGTTGTGGTCTACAACTTGCAATGTGAAGTTTCATCACATCCCTTCTAGTTTGATTTTGAAGCGATGGACAAGGACAGCAAAAATTGGTGGGAATTTTGGATTTGCTGTTTCGTCTACTGAGGCTCCGTCAAAGTATCGGTCTCGTCTGTTCAATATTTCAGCTGTTTCTGCTTCGCTTATCAGTAGGGTTTGTTTGAATGATGATTTGTATAAAACAACCATGGATTTCATGAGTGATTTGATCAAGAAGTGTGAAGCTTTACCAACTGTTGAAACAGCTGGTACGGGTGGATCGACCAACTGTGAGAGTAAG